ACCCCCCCCCCACACACACACACACACACACACACGTTTCCACGGAGCTGTCAGAACACAGAGCTCCTCCTCCTGCCACCGCCGCCACCGCGTAAAGTAGGACGTAATTGATAAGGTACAATACAGCCTGAAGGGACGAGCCTCCTCTTCCTCCTCCTGTTTCTTTTAGTTCTTCCTCGACAGCTGCTTCAGACATTTCACACACACACACACACACACACACACACACACACACACACATGCGCACGTTTGTGTTTCTACAAGCGCGTTTGGACTTTGGTCCCGTAAGGTCCCCACAGTGTAGTTGTCAAACAGAGTCCTCAAAAGATATTAAAACCCAGATGCACACACACACACACACACACACACACACACACACCCGGCCCTGCAGCAGCTCCGCTATAGGTCCACACACCGTTAATTTATTCTAATTAAAAGACGGTAAAGGACAAGTTTGGACCATCCAGAACCCTTTGAAAGGGATCAGGTGGACGCCGCCGGTCTGAGCCGGCCTTTATTTGCTGTGAATTTGTGTTCATGCAGATTTAATGAGCTGGAACTGAGGAAAAAAGAGAGAGTGGGGGTGGGGGGGGGAACAAGAATAAGAGGAGAACTCTGATATGCTTACCTATTTGAATGTACGTAACTATGGTTACACAAACATGAAAGCAACACGGAGCCCCTTTCAGTCCAGGTTTTGATTCATCCAATGACTCTCAATGTAAGGAGGACGCAAAGGAAGGAGAAAAAGGATAAATGGTTTTTATGAATGAGGAACACATAAAAACAGATTCTGATCCGGCCCGTCGCTTAGAACCRATCAGTCTGTTGAAGCTTCGCTAATCAAACCAAAACGCTGCTTTTAAAATAATTACAGTTTTTACAAAAACGGGGGAGGTGAAAGACAATTATCGGACACAAGAAGTTTCTTTTTTTTTTAGAGAAAAAAAGATTTTATTTTGTCACTTTGAGTGTTTTTAAGTGGCTGTTTTCTAACGTGTGCTGACGTTTAGCTGCAAAGTGATCGACTTGTAGAAAAAAAATGTGTAAAAATGCAAATTTTAAAAGCAAAAGCCCCGTATTTATAACGTTTTTCAGAGTAAATTTCAATATTTAATTCTCATTCATAGACCTATAATAAATAATGACCATGTTTGATTGATTGATTGATGTGTTATACCTCAAACCGCCACTAGGGGCAGACTTTACAGCAGATTTATCTATCTATCTATCTATCTA